GGCCAATTGTTTCCTTGACTTTTTTCTTCTTTTTAATATGTTGGAAGAAGCTTTTTTTGTTATTTTTTTACTTTAGTCACAAGCCTTTGTTCATTGTGAGCCTTAGCTTTTCTCACTTCATCTTTACAGGCTCAGGCTATCTGCTGATATTCTGCCTTAGTTATTTGCCCCTCTTTCCACTTTTTATACTTGTCCTTTTTGTCTTTCATGCTGGTTTCTTTTGTGATCTATTATTTTTCTTCTTCATTGGTATTGTGCTAGACTGGGCTTTTATAATCTCACTTTTCAAAATTTCCAAAACTTCTTGAGTTGTTTTCCCCTTGATGATTCTCATCCATGGAATCCTTCTCAAGCTCTAAATTTATTGAAATTAGCTCTCTTAAAGTCCAAGACTCGTTTGACTTTGTTCTACTACTTGTGTTTGCATAATGTTGAATTCCAATATTGTGTGATCACTTGCCCCAAGGTTCCTGTAGCTTCAAAACCTTCTATCATTTCATCTCTGTTAGTGAGAATTAAGTCCAATATGGCTGATCCCCTTGTTCCCTTCTCTATTTTTTGGGAAACAAAGTTGTCTGCTAGGTTTGTTAGGAACCTGTTGGATCTTCCACTTGGTGCAGAGTGTCATATTCTGCTCACCAAGCTGGCTCGACCTGCTGTAAACACGACTCACAGATAAACCACGAGGTTGTTAACAGGTTTAATCTTCATATCCCGGTGGAGTCATACACAAACGTTGCAAGGAACATAAAGTCGGCATTGGGAGCGGCTGCCTCCCAGCACCCTTTTAACAATAATCAAATTAAACCGGGAGCATCTCTAGCCAATCGGCAGTACTTCCGGGCTCCGCCCCTGCCCCTCTTTTGCAGCGGCCAGGAACGGCTCTCCCTCCCCTCACATAGCCCTGTCCCAGCCGTGGGGTGACTGACCGCCTATTCTTCGGATTCAATACCCCCCACCACCATTGTGTGAGACTGTAATCAGCGCTCTCCCCCCCCAACCATCGTCACGACGTAGCAGAAACATTGTTGTGTGGTAGAGCTGCCCTGTCACTGATGGTCCTGCTGGATATCCCCTCCCCACTTCAGTGTCAAGTTGGCTTGACACTCGACAGGCGGCCCCCTCTACCAGGAGCCCACCTGCAAGACATGAAAACAAGAGGTTAAGTTTTGGAACCAAGTTCTTCTTTTTCCTGAACAACACAGGGGCCACCAACTGCGATCTGCTAGGTTCGATAAAACCTCTTACGAGATTTTTATCGATATACCGTCGAAGTTCTTCCATCTCGGCCAGTGTCATAGCATACATCCGCGGTTTCTGCAGTTTAGCCCCTGGGATCAGTTCAATAGCGCAATTTGTTGGTCTATGGGGTGGTAATACCTCACTCTCTTCTTTGTTAAAAACCCTTTCGAGATCGTTATACACCTTTGGGAATCCACACAAGCCCTCGTTCTGTCCCCCGGCTTGTTCCATCTGTTCCTCGGGTTCTGGCTCTGGACCTACTACCAGCCGTAATTTCCAATACCCCCCCTCCCACCAAATATGGGGCTTCCATTTGTCCAACCACGCTAAGCCCAAAATGAGAGGTTCCACCATCTGTTCCACTATGATAAAATGCAGGGCCTCCCTGTGCTCCCCTATTTGTAACTCTACGAGGTCAGTAATGAGTTTGGACACATACACCCCAGTACAGAGCCGTCCATTTGTTCGAACCTTATCGGAGTCCTTAATTGCACTGTGTGTAACCCCAGATCTTCGACTATCGCTCGGCTAATTAAACGTCTGGTGCAACCAGAATCTATCAATGCTCCCCTGTGACTCACTTGAGAGGTACGTGGATTCGGTATCACGACTGATATAATGAAGGGGCGTATCGGTGCACTTACCATGGGGTCATTCGGGTCGCTCTCCTCGTCATCATTGATGGTTACGGGACTTTCTTCAGGTGCACTGGGACTCATCGCCTCCTTTGCAGTAGACCGTGGACTGCCATGTGGAGTTTGGGCAGCCAACCGGGATTGGTATGTGCCCGGACGGCCACAGCCCCTTGGTGTGCGTGCCATCCCTGTCGGTTGTATCTTAGCTTGAATAGGGGGCTTGACACTCGATACAGAGTTTGTCTCCCAGTTAATGTCAGGGTAGTTAAAATTCCCCATTACTATTGTGATGTGCTTCCTACATACCTTAGTTAGCTGACTAGCAAAAAGTTCATCTACTTCCTCTGGTTGGTTGGTGGCCTATAGTATAGACCTATGGCGATGTCATTTTCCCTCCCTTTAATATTGACCCAAGTGCATTCAAGATAATTTTCATCATTGTTGTGCTCTATTCTGTAGAGATGTAGTTATTTCTTATATATAGTGCAACTCCACCTCCTCTTTTATTTGGTCTATTTCTTTTAAATAATTTATATCTCTCTAGCTGTATGTTCCATTTGTGGGTTTCATCCCACCAAGTTTCCGTAATGGCAACAATATCATCTGCCCTCATTTACTTAAATGTCTAATTCACCCTGTTTATTCCTCATACTCTATGCACTGGTGTATAGTCATTTGAGTCCATGTTGATTGACCCTATGTTTACTGTCTACATAACCTGTGTTGTACCTGACTGCCCCTACTTTCTTGCCACCTGTTTGATTCATGCACATGGTATGGCACTCACTATTAAATGCTTGGTTTTGGTTGACAGCAGGGGTGATAATCTTACTCGCACAGACATCTATGTTACATGCACTGATAGCCCTATTAATTTTGGATTGCTGGGGACAGAAATGTTCTGTATCAATTAATTCTCTGTCCCCACTGTTCAGTTTAAATGTTTATCCAGAAAATCTGTGAATTTATTGCTAAGTAACTCAGTCCCTTTCTTTGATGGATGCAATCCATCTCTTTTGTACAGTTCTTCACTGGACCAGTTGCAGACATCATGACTAATAAAACCAAAGCCTTCCCTTCTACACCACTCCTTTAGCTACACATTAAACTCTGCTACACGCTGGCCTTTCCCTTTTTGTTCCTTATATACCGGTAAAACCTCTGAAAAGACAACCTATACTACTAAATTCATACCCCAAGCTCTGGAAATCATTCTGCACAGAAAGTACATCCTTTTGGGACAGATCATTTGTGCCAAGATAATAGCATCAACATCACAGTCTTACTGGCATTCTTGTCTATCTTAAGAATACACCTCTTGTCTCTGCTGGCAGTAGCACCTGGCAGACACCTGACCTCTTTCAAAACCTCCATATCTTTTCCATATCCTCCATATCTTTTCTAGTCCAGCCCCCTGCTCAAGCAGAAGAACCCATACCATTTCAGACAAGTGACTGCCTAGTCTCTTTTTAGAAACCTCTCCTGATGGAGTGCGTGTGATTTCTGAAGGCAAGCTGTTCCACTGGTTAATTGTCCTAATTGTTACGGTAGGAAGTCTCTCCTTAATTCCAGGTTGCTTATCTCTTTGATTAGTTTCCAACTATTGTCCTGCTCTCTGGTGCTTTGAGAATAATTTGACCCCCTCTTCTTTGTGGCAGCCCCTCAAATACTGGAATACTGCTATCATGTCACCCCTAATTCTTTTTTTCTTTAGGCTAGCCAGACCCAAAACCTGCAGCCGTTCTTCATATGGTTTATTCTCCAGGCCTTTGATCATCTTAGTTGCTCTTATTTTAATTTTTTCCAAAGTCTCAACATTTTTTTTATAGAATGATAACCAAAATTGGTTGCAGTATTCCAGGTGTAGTATAAACCCTAGTAAGTGGCACTTATATTTCACATGATCTTGATTCTATGCATTTGTTTATACAACCCAGGATTGTATTAGCTTTTTTGGCGGCGGCTGTACACTACTGGCTCATATTCAAATGATCATCCACTAAGACTCCAAGGTCCCTCTCACAGCTACTGTCTTTGAGCCAGGTCTCGCCTAATCTGTACTTATACCTTTGATTTTTCCTGCCTAAATGTAAAACTTTGCTTTTCTCCACATTAAAATTCATTTTGTTAGATAGGCCCATTGTTCAAGTTGGTCAAAATCTTTTTGGATCCTGAGCTTGTTTTCTAGGGTGTTGGCTATTCCTGCCAGTTTAGTATCATCTGCAAATTTGATGAGTTCCCCTTCTATTCCATCATCTAAGTCATTAATGAAGATATTGAAGAGGGTCTTCCCTCCATGTGGATGTAGTATCAAAATGCTTTATTGAAAACTAAGCATACTACATCCACAGCATTTTGCTGGTCTACTAATTTAGTGACTTTATCAAAGAATGAAATAAGATTGGTCTGGCATGATTTATTTTTAACAAACCCATGCTGGCTACTAGTTAAAACTTTATTTGCTTCTAGTTGTTCACAGATCTATTTTTTCATTATCTTTTCCAGGATCTTCCCAGGTATTGATGTTACAGTAGACTGATTGGTCTGTAGTTTCCTGGGTCTGTTTTTTTTTCCCCCCTTTCTTGAAGATGGGAACCACATCAGCCCTTTTCCAGTCCTCAAGTACTTCCCCCGTGCTCCAGGATTTTTGAAAGATGTGGTACTATGGTTCTGAGATAACATCTGCCAGCACCTTCACAATTCTGGGATGCAATCTGTCAGGTCCCAGTGATTTATATTCATCAAGGTCAGATAGGTGTTCTCTTACCATTTCCTTGCTTATTTTAATTTTTATTTCTAGTTTGTCTTTTACAGTATTTTTTTTTTTGGTATGGTGGGCTATAATTTCTTTTTGTGTTAAGACTGATGCAAAGAATGAGTTATATTGACCCATATACATTCTGGAGGTGTTTTATCTTTGATCATGTGTATTCCTGTAGATATGTAGTGGTCTCTCACATATAGTGCCACTCCACCTCCTCTTTTTGTTGATCTGTTTCTTTTGAACAATTTGTCTCCATCCATCAGTACATTCCAGTCATGGCTTTCAGGTTTCTCTAATGGCAACTATGTCATACCTACTATTACTTCTAGTTCACCCTGTTTGTTCCCCAAGCTTTGAGCATTTGCATATAACCATTTCAGACTTTTCTGTCTGCCCCTGGATATGGTTCCTGCATCTCCTAATTGTTGTTTGGGTTTTCCCCCATCACTTCCTACCTTCATTGTTTGATTTGTTTTCTTGGGATTTGGTTCCCAAACAATTGGTTCGCGCAGCCAAAACTCTTTCTCGTGAAGGAAGAAAGCAGGCACAGCAAACGCTGCGAAGGGAGGGAGGGAGGGAGAGCTGCGATTAACTCACACCACCCTTCCTTCTTTCCTAGGCCAAAGCAGCGCTTCTCCGCCACCCCGAAGCCAGGCCCTCGCAGCTGAGATGCGGCCGCCTGTGACAACCCCGCCCTTCCCACTCGAGTTTGCTTTCATTTTCGGAATCGGGGGCCCATCGAGTGGTCTTCACCGAGCGGCAACCAAAGGGCTCGCCTGACTTCGCTCCCGAGGAAAAGGCGGCTCCTTTGGCAGGTAAGCCGGCAGGGGGCCAATTCCCGTAGCGTCCTCCAGGGAAGGAGGAGGGAGCCTCAGTCGCAAAGCGCTGACTTCGCGGCAGAGGCCGGAGTCTCGGTGAACGCCCGTTGCACCCAAGGATGCAGCTTCGGCGAGAACCGAGCTTGGCACAAGCAGGTTGTGCCCGCCCCTCGTCGAGGCCGGAGCCGGGCGTTTCTTCCCTGCCGCTTTCCAAGACTGGCAGTGAGGAAAAACGAGGCCGGGCTTTGTGCTGAAGCGGGAAGAAACGGGCGAAACTGCGCCGCCGCATTGGCCGCGGCTCCTTTCCTGTGGCGCGTAGCAGCGGCCCGAGGGGCAGCGGGAGGCCATCCCGGGGACGCGCGAGGCCCCGCGCTCTTCTTCGGCCCTCAAAACGGCCCCGCGCTCTCGGCCGCAGCGACCGAGGGATTTGCCTCAGCACCCTGTTGAAGGGGAGACGGAGCTGCAGAGGAAGCGGGTGGAGGGCGGAAGGCTGCCGCAGCCTCTGCTGCTTCGGGCGGCCACAAGACGACAAGATACAGAGAAAATCAAACCCGTCTTAGCCCTAAGCGTTGATCTAAGTTGCCGGCTCTCGTCCCTAAAAAACTGCAACGCACACACACACATCACACAAACACACACCAGCTCGTGCAGAGACGCACCTGAATAGGTCTGCACCTTCAAACAGAGCTGCTGTGTGATGATTAATGCAGGTAGACCTCGACCTACAACACTTCCTTTAGTGACCGTCCAAAGTTACAACGGCACTGAAAACTGACTTAAAACCATATTTCATAGTTACAACCTTTGAAGCATCCCCATGCTCCAGCATCACATCACATGTGATCAAACTGCAGATGCTTGGCAACTGACTCGTACTTATGACCTTTGTTGTGTCCCACGGTCATGTGGAACACCTTTTGCAATCTAATGATAAGCAAAGTCAATGGGGAAGCTAAATTCACTTAAGGTCCTAAAGTGGGGCAAAACTCACTTAACAAATGTCTCACTTGCCAACGGAAATTTTGGGCTTGATTGTGGCCACAAACTACCCGTATTGGTTTTTATGACAGCCAATGCAGGGATGGGGAAGAGGTTTGCCTTTTGCCCCAGAAAGCTCCATTGAAGAAGGCAGATTTTGCTTACAGAATTAGAAAAAAAACCATTGTTTATTTGTAAGAGAAATTCAGATTCTGAGACAGCTAATTCTTTAGCAAATGGTATTAAATTTGCTGGACACTAATAATTTATTAGAGCCTTAATTCCTGTTATGGAGGTTCTTAATATAAAGTATGGTAAAATATCAACTCTATCTTTTTAAAATAAATGTGAAGACAGCAAAAATACTTCCTTGTTCATGCAAAAAATACTATTTCCTTCCAGATTAACACAATGCACAGGCCATGGCCTTTAAAAAAAGAAGAAGAAAAAAAGAGGAAGGCAATGCAAATTTAAGATTGTTACACTCAAGTGTGGTTTTGTGACTTGGTTTCAGTGCTAGTCACTTCCCATTTTTTTCTGGGAATCAAATAGTTGTTTTTAAAAGCTTGTGTGCCTGAGTCTGAAACTTTGCCTAAAAAGCTTTCTAAGGCAGCCTTCTTGGAGATCTATTTAAAGTTAAAGTTTATGTGTCTTTACATGTGTAGGGAATACAGCATATATATCATGTGTCCTGTTGTCAGTTGGAATTAATATTAATTAATGGCTTCTGGAAGACCTGGGGGGGGTGGAAGCAAAAAAACAGGCCTACCAGGTCCACCGTGCCATCACGTGTTAAAAGCAGGGGAAGCACGGGGGGGTGCGCATGCATGCACGGGGGGGGTGCATAGAATTATGGGTGTGGGCATGCACACGACCCCCCCCCCCGGTGCTCCCTTCCCCACTTTTGGCATGCGATGGCAAAAAGGTTAGCCATCACTGACCTATAGCATAGTTTTATCAGCTAATGTTTTATTTTCAAGGCTTATTAGGTTCCTGGTTTGATTTTAAAAGTCTCTCTTTGAGGGAGATGGGCAGTTCAGAAATGTGAAAAATAAATAAAAAATTAAGTTATACACTTTTAACAACATTGAAATCAGTGTAACTCGGTTTATTGTGATTACTATTTATTTCAGTCAAAGCCAAGCTTTATCTTCCTTCTATGTAATTTTGCATTATTAAAAAAAAAAAAGAGAGAGAAATCTATATTTGTATTTTGGTACATAAAATATGTACAGCCATCAGTGATTGTCTGAATAAGGGTTCCAGGAAAGAAAGGATCAGTTCATTTGGCTTCCTCTGTCTTTTAATTGCTCTGGTGCATTCTGGAAGCTGTGGCTGAACAAATGGATTGCAGTTTTGAACTGCTGTACCTCTGTTTGAATACTAAGTAACACTGGGTGGTGAGCTTTAAAAGTACTTAGAAACGTAATTGTTTTAACTGGAGCAAAGAAATATCATGTATTTGAAGTTTCAATTCCTTTTATAGCAACTGTTGTGCTATAAGTTGCACTTTAGGCAGCTGAAAAAAAATGTTGATTTCACAAATTTAACAAGGAGCTCTTAAATACAATCAGACTTCAACCTTGGAGTGTTACATTGAGTTATATCGCATTGTATCCTTTGGCAAAGGTTTCAGTGAACAGAAGCTGTTTGTCTGTGTGGGTGTGTACATGCACATACATTGTTTCTATTCGTATGAAATCTCATACTGTTCTGGAGGTCCTCCAGCTCTTTAGAGCAGACTTGAATAGCAGAGGCCTGCAGAGAGAAGAGAGATAACAGAAAATCATTTTCCTCTCCCACTTAAAAACATCTTACATCAAAAAGCCTTATTTGAATAGGAGGATATAGCAAAGCTTTAACATTACAATACATTAAATAGCCAAGTTTATTATTAGTTCAACACTGTTTCATTTGGTCCATTGCAGATGCACAACTAACATCAACACTTCAATTGCTAGGATGTGTTTTTAAACTACAATGGCATTTTCCATGAAACCACTGAATTTCTGCAAACTTGGTAAGTTAAATTTAATTAGAGAGAATGTAGGGTGCGGTTTTTTTGGCTGTCAGTTTCTTCTTTGTCATGTGTTATCATTGTGGGAGGAAATTTGCCCAGGAAATGTTATGATCACCTCCTTTCATGTGGCTAAAACAAATTGTTTGTTTGAAACAAAATATTGATAAATGGTCTTCAAGGTGATACATTAATTGAAGCAACAGCAATAGCAGTCCTACCTAATTTGGAGAGTAAAATCATGCACAATTTATTTTTAAGGTTTTTAATTAATTTTGAAAAATAACAATTCATTGTTCTTTTATTTAGCATTTGTCTTATTTGAACCTCTTTCCTAAAACATGTAATATTAGGTTTTTAAAAAAAGAAACACATTTTGCATTCAGAATAGAAAAATGTATTATTACTATTTATAATTCTAAGCTATAATTTTAAAATAGTTTTATAAAAGGCATCTGCATGAAAGCAGAATTAGTGCAACAAGGAAAAAAAGTTAATATTTTTCTAATAAGTGTTCACATCAATGGGAACTTGCTTCTTATATTTCCCTTTTCTGATTGTAATTCTTTGTTTTCAGCTTCATTTTTTCTTTTCTTAACATGGCAACACCAGCAATTAGATGTCCTGAAAATTTTAATCTAGCAATGTCATAAACATTATTAGTATTCCAAACTACCAGTATCCCCAGCTATTACTCAGTAGCATGTTGAATGTCATTCAATCTGGAGGGCCCATCATCATATGATCAACTACTTTATATTATCTATGGAGCTGGATTCCTGGATAAAACACTTCTCTTGCACAGAATAAAATGATGTATTTGCCATTGTCATTAAAGTAATAAACCAACTCCAGCATATTCTTATATTGTTGCTACCTAATACAGATCCCTGTTTTCTTTAGTTGGGCAATTCTTTAACTTCACATCTTGGATGACAAAGCCAGGAATACATACTTTTAGGATACACTTATGTTTTGTATATTAAATATCTAGTGATTGTACAAAAAAGGTTTAATTGGTAATTTTTAATTATTCTATGAGGGCTTGTCTTTCATTTGTAAAACTTTCTGGTTGAACTAACACATTGTACTAAGCCAGAGTTTATGTTTATTATGGTTTATTGAAAAAGCTATGATTAGCTAGGATCTAATGCCAAAGACCCAAAATTCATTGCCTGCAAACCACGGTCGCTAGATTCACAGATACTGAACTAAAACCCACTGATGGCTTTGTACAATATGTATCTTTCTATCCGATAGCTTTTACATATGCCCCTATTTGATCTTAACATCATTACTATTTTTTATCTCTTCCTATTTGTGGATATGTGGTCAAAAGTTAGCTTTTACAAATGAATAATATTACTTTGTAATTCCATAAGTGTCCCAAAAGAAATGGTCTACAATAAATAATTAAAAAAAGGAAAAGCAAACTTCAGGGTTTTTTTGTGGTGAGAGAAAGCCAAATGCCTGATTGTTAATACAAGTACTCCTCGACTTACAACCATAATGGAGCCTGCCCATCATGGTCATAAATCCTGATGGTCATAAAATGGGTTGGCCATGTGTCCAATCCGATTTTAAGATATTTTTTGTGGGGGTACATTAAGCAAATCAAAGATTCACCATGGCTGTTGTTTTGAAAAAAAACCCAGAAATAAATGCTGGGTTTTGGCAAAACCATCATAAAACGTAGTCACGTGACTGCAGGATGCTGCAGATGGACATAAATGTAGCCCAGATGCTATGTGCCCAAAGTTCAGTTACCTGACCTGGTAACTGTGACTGTCAGAATTTTGAATCGTGGTTGTGACTATCCCCTAGGTACTGTAGGTCCATTGTAACTTTGAACAGTCACTAAGTGACCGGTTGTAAGTCAAGGATTAACTGTATCAAACAAAACTTTAACCTTAGACTGTCTACTGTAGACCTCACCTCATTCCTAAGAGGTCTATAAGGGGCGTGCATAAGCGCACCAGAGTGCCTACCGTCCCTGTCCTAACGTTTTTTTTATTTGTATCCTTTTCATATATTTATAATTATGTTTACACTTGTATCTGTCATAAAATACATGCTTGACGAAAAACAAAAAATGTACTCCAGTAGGATGTGATCCAAATACAGTTAAAAAGTTGAGAAAAGTTGAAAATTGCACAAATACTATAAAATCTATATATACCACAATATATTTGCCATTGCCCTAAAAATACTACTTACAGGTATAAAATCCTATACCTATCCTTCTTCCACCTGGCATTACTAATAAGATATATAGCTGGGCAGTCCTGCCATCTAATTTTACAAACTGCCATTCAATGTAACTGATATACCACCAGTGGCGGCAGGGCTTCTGTCAGGTCCCAAATCTTCTCAAATGGAGGTTCTTAAATTGTACTCTGAAAATTGATTTTTGTGGAATAAATATGTTTTAAAGGTACAATAAAATATCACCATTTTTAAAAAGTACTTCTATTTATTTTACATCTGCTTTTGGACTTGTTTCAGTCATCTGGTTACATCAGATTTGGCCATTTTAAAACAGGCACTTTCCCATCAACAGAAACAAACTTTAACTAAGAGTCCCATTGATTCCAGCAGATTATGAGCAGTATAATATTAATATTTGAAAAAATGTTAAGATCAGTGGTAGGATTCAGCCAGTTTGCACCACTTCAGGAGAACCGGTTGTTAACTTTCTGAGCAGTTTGGCAAACTGGTTGTTGGAAGAAATCATTAGGGCAGAGAACCGGTTGTTAAATTCCTTGAATCCCACCACTGGTTAAGATAATTTTTAAATAAATTATGGCATTAGAGGAAAGTGGTTACTGTCAGATGGAATAGATCAGCCTTCTACAAACTAGTATTTATGTTGGCTGAAGTACAAGAAGATTGTTTGTTCAATTAGTCAATTTATATGAATGCCTAACAGATAAATTATGATACTATGTGGCTAACAGGTTAAAAAGAAACAAAAAATAACTACCGTATTTTCCGGCATATAAGACGACTAGGCGTATAAGATGACCCCCAACTTTTCCTTTTAAAATATAGGGTTTGGGCTATACTCGCCATATAAGACTACCCCTCTTCCAACGCACACCAAATAAAAATTAAAAAACATCAACTGGCTCACTCACAATGTAAAAGCAGTTGTGCTAGACCCAAAATGGCCCCTGCAACAGGCAGGAACCTCACACAGCCACAAAAAGCCCAAAAAACCAACTTTCACACTTTACACACACAAAATTCCACATACAGCTTTGTGAGATTTTGTGTGTTTGTGTAGTTAGAGTGAAACACTACAGAAACACACTAAATCTCAGAAAGCTGCACAAATATTATTTTATTTTATTTTATTTTTATTTTTATATGAAAGCTAAATTTAAAACTTCCTAAACTTTAAATGGCTAGGTCTAAAAAAGAACAACTAAAAAAAACCCCAATTAACTATTTTTTTAAAGCTCCCAAAGGGGGGGAAAACTTACCCAATAAAACAGGGGTCTCCAACCTTGGCAACTTTAAGACTTGTAGACTTCAACTCCCAGAATTCCTCAGCCAGCTTTGCTTTGCTGGCTGAGGAATTCTGGGAGTTGAAGTCCACAACTCCCTGCCTGCTTGATTGCAGGCAGGGAGTGGCTTGCTGATGGAATGGATTGCAGGCAAGCGAAGCAAGGCAAGCGTTGCGACTAACAGCTAAGGTAAGCAAGCTGGAGGGGGAAAACTTTTTTCCTTTTACATGGCTCTGGCGATCCTGATTAGCAGGCAACTCAGCTGGGATCGTCAGCTTGGATCGCCAGACCCATTTAAAAGAAAAAAAACTTTTTTTCTTTTACATGGCTCTGGCGATCCAAGCTGAGTTGCCTGATTAGCAGGCAACTCAGCTGGGATCGTCAGAGCTTGGATCGCCAGAGGAATTTAATAGTTCATAGAAACTGGTTTTTGTATACAAAAATATCTAAGCACTCCCAATTTATTTTATTAGAATTTACAATAATAAATAATTATTTGTCTGGAAGAAAAAGAGGATAATAAAAAAGCAAAAATCCAATATCCCAATAAATCTAAATACTATCTTTACTACTTAAAAAAGTATATCATGGTTATTTTAACTTTTTACAAATAGCTACTTCTAAATAAACTTAAATGTTTTGGAAAGATTTGGAGATAAAAAGTCATGAATACCCACCCACCCTGTTCTGTAAGAAAGTCATGAATCTCTGATGCTAAATTCTATTTTATATTAACTTTCCAACCATCTATTTATATATGATCAAATGATTGTAGCATTTTTCCTAATATTTGTTTTGTTTAATTTACAGTATACATCAGTGCAATAACTTTGACTTTTAGCAACTTTCTTGGTAAGTATTTTTCATGTACTATAGAGATCTTGCTAGAGATGAGCTGTTATTGATAGCAACATCTCTGTAAGTGACATAAATCCAGTCCATCGATCTATCTAATGTTATGCCAAAGCATGATTTAGTGTGACATATCTAAAGATCAAGCAAGACTCTGCTTCACACATATCCTCTACTCTATTTTATCCTTTTCTTGCAGAGCTGGGAGGAAAATTTTGGAAGTGTTTATTTTTAGGTTTTTTTTTAGGACTGCTGATGTTAAAATGAGCCCACTTTAAATAACAGATTATAAAGCTGTATTACTTAAATTAACCAAATTTAATATAACCATAACCTCATGATTGCATGTAATAATCTAATTTTAAAGAAAAATGCTGATGGGGAGGAACACACAAAGCTGTTGCTTAACTGAACCCTTCAAGCTTGGGCCTGTCTGGGATTTCTGTTCCATTCATTAAAACTACATCAATTTCATCATCATCACCAACAACAGTGTGATGTTGGGAGGCTGCAAAGCAAGCTTCCAGCATCATCCTTATCTCCAAGAGTTCCTTGGTCCCCATATCAGGCAATAGGTATTCTTAGAAAATAAACATGCTGACTGACTGCAATCTAATGCTTGGTTTAAATTATATCCAGCAAAAACAAATGGGATATAAGTGCATTAAACAGGACTAATAGCACCCTGGGTGCTTAAACGGGGTGGGAGAAAGCACCAATTTGCATGATGGCCCATGGAACATTTTGCAACTATTTATATCCATTATTGACTCAGTCGGTGTTCTTGATCACAAAAACCCAGGGAAATCTCATTCTGTTTGAAACCAGCTATGCACTGTTCTGATTTCTCCTATTTTCCAAAATGATTTTTTTAACTATTTAAAAAATAGCTCTTATGCCCTCCTCTTCCTTCTTCCTCCTTTTCTTTTTGTGTGCTTTTGCATGCTTCTTACTTTAAATATATATAATGGTGGCAAACAATCTGCTTTATGCATAAAGTAAGGGGCAAGATGGACAACTAGTTTTGGAATTGCTGGTAGAATCATCAAATTGTAAAGGAGGAGAGCAGGAAGAAAAGTCTAGTCTTAAGCTATGAGAGATATAGACATGGCATGTCCTAATACATTTGTACATTCTGCGTGATGCATATGAATATACAGTGAGAGGTTTTTTTTCCCCACAAGAAACATCTCAATCATCATTCATTCTGAATATGAAACAAGAGGATTTTGAGTACATTCTATCATGGAAAGCTGGAAATAGTTCAAGGATGCCAGCATGCTACACAGTGATGTACCAGTATTTTACAAAAAGGTTTCTATCTGTTTTCTTTATACATATTTCTATTTACATTTTATAACTGTTTACAAGTAATCATGATGGACAAAGTATTATTTTAACACAGGTACTTAGATATTGCTGCAATAAAAATAAAAATAATGCAAATGTTTAAAGATCAGTAGATTTATTTGGTACATCTTTTGTGCATTGGACACAATTTGATCAAATGCATGGGATATTATTTCTTATAAATACCTAGTAAAGTTGGGGAGTGATTATCATTTTGTGAACAGAGGCCACCCTTAGTATTTTTAGGAATGACAAAAGCCACAGAGCATGAGATGATAATGCAAAGTAACCAGCCTATGACATACATTTGAATGACTCCAGATTTTTCTGTATTTTCCTGAATTTAAGGTAGAATTTAAAGAGGGTTCTTTTTTTAGTTCTATAAAGACTATTATTGGGAATACAATTCAGTATTATTAGTATCTAGTCTGAAAATGATAGAAAACTGTGAAAACAATTTTCAGCAAATGGAGTCAGAAAGGATCCTGGGTGCTGCATATACCTGGAGTATAGATGCTATCCTATATGAACCTAAAACCAATTGAAAATCTTGAGGTGATATAGCATTGCCTCAATCCTTGGTGTATTCAGGAGGTCAAAGGAAAATAAGTGACAAAAAGTTCATTATGAGTTAATTGATGCAAACCTTTGACCACAGTATATACTTGCATCCAACACTGAACACAAGCATGCCTGTTTTGTGAATATTTTCATCATCACAATTTTACTAGGTGCCTATAAATAAAAGAAGATCAGTCTGTTATATTAGATTGAAGTACTGTACATTTGCAAAACCCTACAGTTATCACTCAATTACAATATTATCATTATTACTATCAATGGCAGTAATTAGCACTTTTTCCTATTTGATGGAGATAAACCTAGAGCAAGATGGCTGCCTTTTATTGAATGGATGGGACATTCAACAGAAAATTGAAGGGAAACTGTTTTGCTTTATTTTTAGAAATTTTGGCTGTAATTTACATACCACGGGAACAAAGTCAAAATCAGCAGTAAAAGGCCAGGAACAAGTTAATTCTTACAACTCCAGGCAAGTAAATACTGTTGAGAAGTTGGTATTCCTATCTATATTTGTCCTCTTTCATTTTACTTCAAGATAATCCACTGTATAATTTTTGTCTTCCTGCTTTCTATGTTGTGAAAGACAAGTATTTTATATCAATACACAATAAACCAATGAATGACAGTTTAAAGATTATAATGTGTCTTAACATTTCCACAATGTTTGCTTTGGAGTGAATTTGAGGCTCAGAATTAAATCAAGAGCATATATATTTTTATTTTATTTATTTTGTCAAGCATTTATAAGATAACAAATATAAGTACAAACATGATTATGAATACATGAAATGGATACAAATAAATGGGGACAGTGGGACAGGGACGGTAGGCACATTGGTGCACTTATGCATGCCCCTTACAGACCTCTTAGGAATGGGGTGAGGTCAACAGTAGACAGTCTAAGGTTAAAGTTGTGGGGGTTTTGGGATGAAGCCACAGAGTCAGGTAGTGCATTCCAGGCATTGACCACTCTGTTGCTGAAGTCGTATTTTCTGCAATCAAGTTTGGAGCGGTTTACCTTAAGTTTGTATCTATTGTGTGCTTGTGTAATGTTGTGGTTGAAGCTGAAGTAGTCATTGAGAGGTAGGACGTTGTAGCAGATAATTTTATGTACTACGCTTAGGTCAGACCGAATGCGGCGTAGTTCTAAGTTGTCTAAGCCCAAAATTTCAAGCTTGATGGCATAAGGTATTCTATTGCGAGCAGAGGAGTGGAGGACTCTTCTCATGAAATATCTCTGGACTCACTCAATTGTATTAATGTCTGATAAGCAGCGTGGGTTCCAGACAGATGAGCTGTATTCAACAATTGGTCTAGCAAATGTTTTGTATGCCCTCGTTAGCAGTACAATATTACCAGAGAAAAAGCTACACACAATTAGGTTAACAACTCTTAATGCCTTTTTGGCAATGTTGTTACAGTGGGCTCTGGCACTTAGATCATTAGAGATGAGTACTCCAAGGTCCTTAACAGAATGAGGGTCATCTACAAGGTCGTATCCGCCCAACTTGTATTTTGTGTTCTGATTCTTTTTGCCAATGTGTAAGACAGAGCATTTGTTGGTTGAGATTTGGAGTTGCCAATTGTTTGACCATTCTGACACGTAGTCAAGGTCTTTTTGAAGGGTAGCAACATTATCAATAGTGTTGAATAGTTTTACATCATCAGCGAAGAGAACGCTGCTGCTTATAATATGATCGCAAAGGTCATTTATGTAAAGTATAAAGAGTGTGGGTCCTAAAACACTGCCTTGGGGGACACCGCTGTTGACAGGTGCAGGGTTTGATAGGGGGCTCCCTATGTTGACCACTTGTTGTCTGTTTGACAGGAATGTAGCTATCCACTTATGCAGGGATCCGGAAATGCCATAAGATTTTAGTTTTAGAAGTAGTTTGTCGTGTACCACTGAATCAAAGGCTTTATAGGAGTCTATGTAAATGTGTCTATTGCTTTGCTCTGGTTGAGTTGTGTAGTCCATATGTTTTTGCAGTGTAGGAGTTGCATATTATAGGACAATTTTTTTCTGAAATCAAATTGTTTGTTAGAGAGTAGGTTGTTTGTCTCTAAGTGGAGAGTAATGGATTGGTTTATGATTGATTCCATGACTTTGCAGGTGACACAACATAAAGAGATAGGTCTGTAATTTTCACCTAGGCTGTGGTCACCCTTTTTGAAGATAGGGATGGCCGTGGCTAGTGACCATAGGCGGGGCAAGGAGCTGGTTCTGAAAGATTTTTCAAAGATTAAGTTTAGAGGTTCTGCTATGGCAGTGGAAAGCTTTTTTAAGAAGTAGGCACATAGTCCATCAGGTCCAATAGACAGAGATGGTTTTAGGCTGTGTAGTGCCTTTTTAATGTTATCTTCTGTAAAATCGGTATGTATTAGATCGTTGTAATTAGTTGTGGTACGATTAGGAAATGTGGAGCATGTGCCATTGCTGTTTACAAAGACTGAGCCAAAGAATGTGTTAAAGAGGTTGGCTTTAATGGCTTCATCATTACAGTCTTTACCGTTAGGTCCTTTTAGGGATGGACGGATTTCGAGTCTTTAAGTTTGATGTTTACAAAATTATAGAAGGCGCGGGTGGATTTTGTGCACAGAAGGTTTTCCTCTTGTTTGATGTGATAATTGGTGCATTCAGTCTTTAACTGGTTGCATATGTTTTTGTAGCGGCTTTTAAAGTTACACATAGCCAGCTTTGTTTTTTCGCCAGAGATTTTTTTTTTGATTGGAGCTTCCTTATTGTTATGGGTAATTTGTTTTTTCTGGTTTTGGGGGTTATTAGTGGTACATATAGTTTAATGACTGTTTTGACTTCGAGCAAAAAATGTTATAATGGTCTTCGGCAGTATTACAGCCCATGAATAGAATTTGCCAATCAAGAGATGAGAGGTCAGTGTCTATTAGATCATAGTTGGCTTTTTTAAAGTTATAATTGGGTATCCCATCATTATGATAATCTTTGTAAGGATGTATATTGAGACAAAAGTCAATCATGCTGTGGTCGCTGTTGGAAAAGGGTTCTTTTATTTGTAGATCATAAATTGAGATTAAACTGCTGCAGAAGATGAGATCAAGGCAGTTGTTGAGTCTAGTGTTGTTAGTTACTAGTTAATCCAGTCCCAGATTAGTAACAGCATTGTACAGGGTTGCGTGTATGGGTTCAGTTGTACATTCGTTTAGGGTCCAATTGATAAGAGGTAGATTGAGGTCACCAAGAAAGATCAGAGGGTGTGGGCAGGAGGCTGCCCACGTTAGTAGTGAAGTTAACTTGTTTGCATGTATGAACAAATAATAAAGAAAGAAAGAAAGAATAAATCTGTATTATATATAATTCAGATCTTGAACTAAGCTGAGAAACCCAGGTTTGTGTCCTCAGATGACCATGGAAATTCATGGCTGATTTAGAGCCAGTCCTCTCTTTTAACGAACTTCCTGAAAGGTTGCAGTGTAAGAAAAAAATACCATAATAGGAGACTCCTATGTGTATCATTCTGAGTTGCCAGGATACAAATATAATAATAAAAATAAAATCAAAGATGGTAGGTAGAAAAATATATAATATATATTTTTATATAATTGTTCTGTTCTACTTGGGAAGATCAGATTTACTGCTCTTTTACTCAGTCTTCCCCATTTTTCTGCTTCAGTATGAACTGTTGTGTTTGGGGTTTTAGACATGTAGTGGAATACACATAGGCTGTTCCTGAATTTAAATGGTTCACACAGTACATTGATCCCTAATTTTAAACCATAGCTTAACCAAGTTACAATTTGATTTGATATCATATAATCCATAATGGATGGGTTCACAGTCACGCTAAGTACAAACCAAAGAAACTATGCTTTAGATTAAGATAGTGTATTAACCCAGTCATTGATTAAGGCAACAGTGATCCCCAAAATAAAACCAGTTCTAAATGTCTTATTCAGTAAATTTATTTAAACATTGTTGTGCTTTACTCAGTATCCAGAGTACGAAGCCTCCAGGAATGGCTCTGTCTCCTAGAATATCTCCTTGCCTTGCATTGCTTTGATATCTGATGCCCCCTGCATGTGTACAGCAACTCCCAAAAGGAGTGTATCAGTTTGAGAAAAACTGTCTTAGGCTGTAAAACTCTTAAGGAAGATTATCAGAAGAGTCTGATGTCTTTATAGACACTAGAAAACAGGATGATTTATGATTCTTTCTTTTTGATACTTGCATCTCTATCACAGATGTTCTCTTTCCTCCCCCCCCCCCCCAGGTCTCAGGAAAACCAGGATTCGGACCATCATGTTCTGGGACCAGGGCAGTTGGCTGTTTGCCCAGCTTTCTCAGAAACAGATGCACAGAAAACACCAATGAAGCAGGATCTAAGGTGGAAGATAGAAATAAATTCTTAGCAGAAACCCAGTAAAGGCATCTGAGGTTTAAAAGGACCTTAAACATTTTCACTGAAATCAAGAAAAATTCTGAGACCATCAAAAGTTTGAAAAAATACTGACTTGCTAGCTTTAACCACCCAAATACAATCCCCTCCCCCCATTATACGTTCCAATGAACCTTGAGTGAACAAAAGTTGATATACCTGCTGTATGGTACATAAACATGACATCTTTTTGTAAACTGCAATGCATATTTATTATTTATGTGCATGTGTTTAAAATTTTAAAATAAAACCATAAATAAAGCATGTTCAGACAACTTTCCAGTCAATATTTTATAATACTTCCTTTCAGTCCTATAATTAATTAAGAAAAACTTTTGAAATACTTTCCTGTTCTTCCTTTCAGAATTTTTCTAGCACAGAAATATTCTTGCGTGATTGATATGAAGGTGCATTTCAGACTGTTTTCTTGATTTTACATGTGTCTGTATACATGCTTGCCAGATGTCACATTTTTAAAAATATCAGGGAAAGGATAAAAATGTTATCAAATTTTGCAATATTATGACTCTTTTAAGTGATATATGAATGTGTGTGATACTCCCCCAAATAAAACTAAATAGTATGTAATGTCAAAGAAACAAATGAAACTGTTGCGATTCATTAATTAATATTTTGATAAATAGTTAAGCACTGGGGTTGAATCATCTCTTGAAACTTTCTCTGGGTTTTGCTTCCCATTCTCTCTGCGGAAACCTGCTGTAGGCTCATCCAGACCAAATATAAATGAGTTTGGACAGAACACCCATTATGCCTCATCATTTTTAAAAAGTCAATTGCTCTTTAAATTGATACCAATCTTCCAGAAGTCATGACCCATACTTCGGCAACATCTGGGTTAAGGATAAAGAATAGTTGGAATAGGAAGGAAAATGAAGAAAAGGGATAAAAATGGATGCCCTTTGAGCTGAAGGGAACCAATCACTAGCTCGGGAAGAACGAAAAGAGAGAGGACCTAATTATGCATTGCAAAAATCATTAAATTCATCAAGCAGCCCTCCCAAATAACAGTTAAACATTCAGGCTAATTTTCTAAAGCAACTGTGCTTTCCAGGAGCAGTGCAGAGTATTTGCATCTCTTGCTTATTTCTTTGTTTTTAATAGCATCTGTTATTCTTACCAGTGAATGTAAGTGGATCTTCTCAAAGATACAGTCCCTACAATGATGTCAGGAATATTTTTGAGCAAGGAGGGTTCTGCCAGGGAGAATGGGAAAAGAAAAAAATCTCAAAGTGAGAACATAAACTTTCTCAATTATAAGAAACAACAAAGTTTTTATTTCTGCCAAAGGAAGTGTTACAAAATTGGAAGGGTCTTCAGACTTTTGTAGCTGCCATATTTACTGCTTTATCGCTTTGAATCTATGCACATAAGCAATAAAAGTGCATTGAAATTTGCAGAAGAAATCCATACACCATGCATCAGCTATGAATTCATTGAAACATGCAGCTTTACCAGGGTGCCTGATCTTGCATAGACAACTTCATATACATCTAATTTGGGTCCAACGTTTTGGCCAATTATCATATATTTCTTTGGAATCACTGTTTTCTTACTGAAAAATATTGTATTCTTTCTTGTTTTTATATAGTGATATAAAATCAAAATTCAGGACAGTCCAGGAATGTACTAATATTACAAGACCATTCTGTAATCTAACAAACGAATTTGCAGACTTTTGCCAAGGAAGTGCATTTATTATAGTACAGCAAGACACCAGCAATGGAACAAATTATTCAGATATTCGAACATTCAATCCATATGCTGAACGTAAGTAATTTCTTCCTTCCTTTTGTTTGAATCATATATTAATTTTCACTATCTCAAATCAAGTCATTTTCCCTTTGGGGAAATAAATTTTATTCATTTGTCATGCGAGTTGGCCTTGATGACCTTTATATCCAGTTATACTATACATTTGAGGAGAATTTTAAAAGCTAGGATAGAAGTTAAGAGTAGCACAAAGAATCAGGTTCTATATTCAGGGCTGACTTTCAGAATCAAAATTTACATTGATGATTAAAGCAAATCCATAATAAAAAATTAAATAAAAGTATGTATCTTTCTATTGAAAATATTATTTATAAGAATCCATTAGGTTTGATTAGAAATCCTACGGAATTTCCAAGGTACTTATATTTTAGACTATTACATTTGCTAAAATTAAAAAAATCTGGATTGCCAGCAAATAGTATTGATAATTTCTTTTATTTATGTTTTAATTAGGATGCTTCAAGCCACCTGAGTTTAATATTTCTGTCTGTCAAAACTGTGTAAATGTTACAGTGAAACTTCCACCTCTGTTACTTAAAATTTATCAAAAACTTGATTATAGAATCACAGTGAAAACAGCTGATCTCAAGGAAAATGTAAGTAGTTGATTATTAAGGTCTTAAAAGTATCAGAGAATTCACTTTATAATTAAGAAATGTGCTAAGTTTTTTGCTTTTACAATATTATATTTCTCAGCTTCAAATGTGTTGAGCTCACATCATTTTCAGCCATTGTGACCTTGGTTTCTTTCAGTTCAGTGTTTCTATTCGTTGGTTCTAAATGGAATGATGGAATCCAGATGGACAAGTTTGCTTTGTATGGGTTCAGAATGCCAGCTGAACTTGATGGGTTGAGTTGTTAAGATTAATATAGAAAACCAATGGCCATATTAGCATACAAACCCACACAGTTAAATTAACAAAAGCACTTTAGTATATAGACATTGCAATATCATCCAATTCAGAAACACAAATTACAAAAATAAAACTACTGTTGATATTGCTGTTATGATTATTGTAGTTATAAATATTGATATAATAATAGTGCTGATATTTAAAGGACTTCACAAAATATCTCACTATTTCTCTAACCCCCATATAGAAAATGACATTCTTAAATAGAAAGTATAGTGGTACTTCGGTACTCATTGTTAATTGGTTCCGGGAGGCACAATAAGTACCAAAAGCAATTAGTACCAAACAGATTTTCCTCATAAGGAATAATGTAGGGAGTCACAAGGCAGCCAACACCAACAAGTTCTAGCTTGTGTATTGAGTACTAAACAAACGATGAGTATCAGACAACATTTTTTGTATCAAAGTGCATTGAGTACCAGTTTGATGAGTTTCAAAGTAGTTGAGTTACTGCTTTGAGTTACGGTTGATGTACCTCTGTAAGTGCAAAGCCATGCCTTGATTCCGGGTTAAAGTAGAGTGTCACCAATTCACATCATTTAGCTTTATCCTTTCAGTGCATTTTAAAACAATTCACCTTTTTTTTTTTGTCTTTTACAGCGTATTGATAATACAACCAAACAGGATCATTTCTTCACTATTCTGGAAGATTTGCATCCAAATAAAAATTATTGCATTGCTGTTGAGGTGTCTACAGGTGTTAATCGCCAGTGCAATTCCACCATTCCAAAATGTATTATGCTTGACTCCAATAATAGAAAAGGTACAATGAATTATGAAACAAGGAAATGGAATGGGTCAGAACCTGTTTTATTTTGTGACTAAAAGACTAAACATTTGATTACCATTTCAGTATCTTTTACATGATTATCGTATTTTTAGGGCTATAAGACGCACCGGACTATAAGAAGCACCTAGATTTCCAGGAGGAAAACAAGAAAAAAAATAGTTTTTGGCTTCCACACATCGCGTTTTTGGCCTCCCCGGCTGCCAGAAGCATTCTGCAGTGCTCCACACGTCCCATTTTTGCCAAAAACAGGTCAGTTTTGGGGCTCCCAAGCCCTCAGCGCATCACATTTTCACCCTCCCCGGCCCCCAGAAGCACTGCAGTGCTCCGCACATCTTATTTTTCACCAAAAATGGGCCTGTTTTCGGTGAAAATGGGACATACAGATCACTGCAGAGTGCTTCTGGAGGCTGGGGAGGGTGAAAATGCGATGCACAGAGCACTTGGGAGTGCAAAAATGGGCCCATTTTTGCCAAAAATGGGTCCATTTTCGGCAAAAATGGGACATGCGGAGCACTGCAGAGTGCTTCTGGGGGCTGGGAAAGGTGAAAACGGGACATGTGGAGCACTGCAGAGTGCTTCTGGGGGCTGGGGAGGGCGAAAACGGGATGTGCGGAGCACTGCAGAGTTCTTCTGGGCTTAGGAGGGTGAAAACAGGATGCGCAGAGCACTGCAGAGTGCTTCAGGGGGCTCAGAAGGATGAAAACGGGACATGCGGAGCACTGCAGAGTTCTTCTGGGCTTGGGAGGGTGAAAACGGGACGTGGGGAGCACTGCAGAGTTCTTCTGGGCTTGGGAGGGTGAAAACGGGACGTGGGGAGCACTGCAGAGTTCTTCTGGGCTTGGGAGGGTGAAAACGGGACGTGGGGAGCACTGCAGAGTGCTTCTGAGGATGCGCAGAGCCCTTGGAAGTCCAAAAACTGGCCCATTTTTGGCAAAAATGGGACATGCGGAGCACTGCAGAGTGCTTCTGGGGGCCGGGGAGGGCGAAAATGCAACGCGTGGAAAGTTTGGGAGGCCAAAAATGCCTGTATCCAGTCTATAAGATGCACCTAAATTTTCGCCCACTTTTCAGGGGAAAAAAGGTGCATCTTATACGCCAAAAATATGGTATATTATGGTTCTTTGTCTTCCTGACAAAACCAGGTAGTTTTGAAATAATCTGCAAATGAATTGTTGTGTAATGAAATATATTTTTAATCTGCAGATTATACTATGTTTTCATTTTTGGCTCTATTTATACTATTGGCAGTGGTAGCCATTCTAGTTTTCCTGCGTAAGGCTGGTTTTATTTCCTTTAAAAGGAAGACATCACCAAGTGTCTTGGTAAGTAATGTGGCAAAATGCTTTCAATTTAAGATTTGTATATGTTAGGGCAGTTCAACCAAAGATGGTTAAAGGGATTTCCAGAAGAAGCTACATGTCCCTTAACTCCATTGAATATTCCCTGTCTTCCTTCTGTTCTTCATAGACTTGGGGTGATGTAACTTATTCATTAGTTTAAAGACTATTTCTATCCTAATGGCTGTGAGACTGCTCTTCATTTTAGTCTCATATGTTTACATATTCAGTTAATGTGCCAAAAGAAACATCACTCTTAGTTTGGCTTATTGTTGCAGGACTTGATATACAAGTGGATTTGAGCTTACAGTCAGGAACTTGCACAAGGTTTAAGGAGGATTTTTTTTACAGTATGTAACTTTAGAGTTGATTTTGGAAACGATTAATTCGCTGTAAACAGCCCTCTGGAATCCAACGAAATCTTATTTCAAAATAGACAGATTATGTTGCTAAGGCTAAACGAATTCCCACTCATTATTATGTGCTGCCTCTGGTAATAGATATGGTGAAACGCCTACATCAGACATGAGGAAATGTTTTCTGTTCAAGCGAAATCCTTTGAACAGGGTTTGAAGCAGATTACACCAGGGTGGGGTTTGACAGTAACATTAGCAGTGAAACGGAATTGAAAGTCCTGCCCTCTGATAATCATCCATCTCTCTGTGCCAGAGAGCACAAGGTACACCTGAGTCAGAGGTGGGTTTCAGCAGGTTCTGACCAGTTCTGGAGAACCGGTAGCAGAAATTTTAAGTAGTCCGGAGAACCGGTAGTAAAAAGTCTGACTGGCCCCGCCCCCATCTATTCTCTGCTTCCCAAGTCCCAGCTGATCAGGAGGAAATGGGGATTTTGCAGTAACCTTCCCCTGGAGTGGGGTGGGAATGGAGATTTTACAGTATTCTTCCCCTGCCACGCCCACCAAACCACACCCACCAAGCCATGCCATGCCATGCCATGCCACGCCCACCAAGCCACACCCATAGAACTGGTAGTAAAAAATTTTGAAACCCACCAGTGACCTGAGTGAAAAGCTGTATCTGTCATAGGCTTTCTTTCATTTATGAACAATAATCAAACAAGGCTACAAAAGCCATCTCTACTTTCCTACTGGGAATGTAAAGCCCCATTGAACTCTAGCATGTGCCACCTCATAGCTTTATTAACAGAAGTGAAGAGTTGGGGCTCTGGTTGCCAAGAGATTTGCTGAGAGCTTTTATGTCCATTTGTCTAAAGCTTATTTTTCCTCATTAGGGAAGAGGGGAAATAAGAACCTGTACCTAGTTACCCACAAGGGAACTCAGGGCAGAATTAAAAAAGAAGAAAGCATTTGACATTCTGAGGAAGGAAAGTTTAATAAAGCACCAGCATTAAAGATACAGAAAAACAAAGAAATATTATTAGTCAAATGAATATATACGTGTTTTTTTTTTTTATCACACAGCAATACTCTTTTGAGGGCATCTGTGAATGTGCATACCAACATTTGTTTTTGGTTTTTTTCCTAGAACATCAAACCTAACTTGGCTTATTCAGTTTTTGAATCAGATCCTGAAGAAGTTTGTGATGTGCAGGTCCAGAAAAGTAAAGTGCAACAACATAGTGATGATGAGAACAGTGAAAGTGATGTTGAGAGTACTTTTGATACTAAATGTGACATCTTTAACCAGATTACACCATTCTCTGAGATGGATATCAGTCAGAAGTTGTTCACAGGTTGCTCAGCTACTACAAATGAAGTAACCAGAACTTTAGCAGAAAGAAATCAGAATGATATTGACAAAAGCAGCCCAATTACCCCATTATATCCTGAAGTAAACTCTGGCCATGTAGCAGAATCAGAACGTACAGACTGCTTAAATGTAAACTTAAATACTGTGATGCTAGGAATATCGGATAAAAATCTGGATTTTTCTACATTTGACCATGAAGATATAATAGACTTGAATGAACCTTGTATTTCAGATGCATTTGAACCAAACAATTTCACTAAAATGCCAGATAATCAGAGCTTTGATGTTCAAAGTCCTCTATGTTCATGGGAAAATCTTAGTGTCTCTGGAGAAAGTGAATCATCTTATTCAGAAACAGAATGCACCAGTGGATATATGAGAAGATGAATCCATGAAAAGTGACACAACTTCCACTGACCCTCCCTTTGAAAGGCACTTTGGGGGAGCAGTAATTTAGACCAGACAAACATTGAGCTCTTTCTACCATTTCTTCATTCCAAATTAACCCTAAAATGATTGTGAGACTCATTTAAACAAGAAACAGTGTTGATACTTTACTATCTGCATTTATATTGCATGTGGTTCCTATGGATACCAAAATATAATTACATAGTTTGTTGTATAGATCTGGAGCTACAGTTTATACCAATATTGTGATTGGCAGACATTTTTTCTATAGTTGTGTGTCCTGCCTTCTCCAAATTAATGTCTTCATGATGTGCTCTAGCTGGGAATTCTAGAATCTGCACCTCCGGCATATCAAGAAGTCATCACATCTGGACTTTACTTCTCCTTCATGCAGCTAATGCATATATTTGTCCTGCTGTTTTAGAAATCTAAAAATTAGCTGCTTTTTCTTGTATTTATTCTTTTGTTTTTAACAGCCTTAAACTTCTTAGTACATGACTTTATTACAGGGCAATTTACTCCCCTGTGATTTACTTGGCAAGAAAGATTGCAAAATAAGGCAAATCTTACTTAACAACTGTCTTATTCAGCAACTTTTGGCTTCAGTTGTGGCTGTACATCAAGGATTACCAATACAATGTGAGATTGGTTTTCTTTTTTCAAACAAGGAAAGTGAATTTCTTAAAGAATGGTTTCTTTCATGCATTTCTTCCAACATGCCTGAAAGAGGAAAACTGGTGGGAAATAAGGCAGATCATAGTTCATGCAGAATCCAGCACATGACAACGGTCATAACACTGGATCGGGTATTCCTCTTAGAATAATACCTATGCAAGTGGGTATTTTTAATATCTCCCTTGTCACGGTCAGATCATGCCTTAATTTCCATGAAATTCTCTAGAACTATTCATTGCAAGGAGGCTGGTTTCATTAGGTCCAGACCTTGGGGATTGATAGAGCCAGGTAGATTTCAGAGGAAATGGGAGTTGTTCCTTTGGTCTGCTGTACAGACATCCAAAGTTACAAGTTAGAATAAAGTGGTTGCTGAGACATTGGATCACCTCAGAGGTGGGTTTCAGCAGGTTCAGACCAGTTCTGGAGAACCGGTAGTGGAAATTTTGAGTAGTTCAGAGAACCGGTAGTAAAAATTCTGATTGCCCCCCCCCATCTATTCTCTGGCTCCCGAGTCCCAGCTGATTGGGAGGAAATGGGGATTTTGCAATAACCTTCCCCTGACATGCCCACCAAGTCACACCCAAGCCATGCCACGCCCACCAAGCCACATCCACCAAGCCACACCCACAAAACCGGTAAGTAAAAAATTTTGAAACCCACCACTGGATCACATTGTACCCATGCAGCCTCTTCTCTCTTGGGGATACTATCACTTCTTATGCTTTACAGAGGAGCTGAGGGAGATGAAACAAGAGTTGTCTAGAGCTTGTCAGTTCTCAACCTGGGGGTCTTGACCCCTTTGGGGGTCGAACGGCCATTTCACAGGGGTCGCCAAAGCCCTCTCTCGCCCCCCCCCCACGCCTTCACTCACCCTCACCCTCTGCCTCTGTTGGATCGTCGGTTGCCGTTCGCTTACCCCGCCCACTCCCAATCTATTGCTGCCTCCAGAGTCCCAGCTGATGGCTAGAGGGAAAAAAACTTTAAATTCGTGCCGTGGGGCTTCAAAGAGCCGCCCTACTCTCAGCTGTTTTGCGGAGGGCTCTGTTGCTAGCTAGCTGCAAAGAGGTAAATTCCTGGAGCAGATTTTTTTCCCCCTAGCTCTGTTGAAAAAGCGAAATTGAAAGTAAGCAGGGTCTTTGCTGCAACGTGACAAAATGAGGCAGAGAGATTTCTTTTTCTTTTTCCTCACCAAAAAAGGTAGGTGCAAAACTGCAAACAATGGGAAATTTAGGGCAAAAGAGGAGGTTCAAGATTTTAAAACACAAAAGAAAAAAAGCTCTATTTAACTAGGGAATTGTAATAATTGAGATACTATTGTATATTGTGTTGAAAGCAGAAACGGTTAAGTTGTGGTTTGGAGGAATATATGGGGGAAATTATTTGGTTTATTATTATTGGTAAATATAATTAATTGATTTGTAAGAAATTGGATTGCATGGAAATAATTGGAATATTCATGTTCATATTGATTAATATACAAAAAAGATAGTTATATAACTAATTGATTTATATTAAAATGTTGAATTTGTATTAAACAACTGTATTACATAATTACATAATTAACCAATGTGAGGATGGATATAAAAATAGATGACAATGCGAAGGGGTAGAATATAGAATAGAAGGGAAAAATTGAATTTGATTAAGATTAGAGATGAGGATGAAGGGTAATATTGTTTTTTTAAAAAAATAGATGAGGAATAAATATGGTAAAAAGGAAATATAGAAATTGTAAATTTAATTGAAATGACTAAACACTGTGTTGGAAGAAATATCCTTCTGGGTTCTGCTCCAAGTGGGGAAAAAGACACTGGAAACATGGAGACTGCTTGGAAAGATTGTTTAATGGTGGACAGGATCACATGGCTTGAGTTCCTGAACAGAAAAGGGGCAGATACAGTAAATCCTTGGGTTTTTATGCTCTCTCTGGCTTTGCATTTCTTGGGGCCCCGAAAGAGTATCCTGATTGGTTGTCAGACTCCCAGAGGGTGGGGGTCTTAGCTAGCCTTGCTGGCTGATGGTCACATGTGCTTCCCAGGTTACATGCTTCCCAGGTCACGTGTGGTGAGTTTCGGTTGCTAGATGGGGCCCATTGTGTTAGTTTCTGTTGCTATTGTGTTGCAAATGTCCTTTGACAAAGGATTGACTTACTGCCTCTGGCCCATTAACAAAGGGTGGGGGGCAGGAAGGTGGGAACTGCTTTGTCTGTAAAAAAGGGCCTTGGTAGTACAGGGGTTTAAGGCACCCTGTTATTAAGCTGGTTATTAAGACCAGCTGCCTGCAATTACTGCAGGGTTCGAATCTCGCCAAGGCTCAAGGTTGACTCAGCCTTCCATCCTTTCTAAGGTAGGTAAATTGAGGACCCAGTTGTGGGGGCAATAAGCTGACTTTGTATAAATATACAAAAAGGATGAAGGCTATTGCTGAGCACATTGTAAGCCGCCCTGAGTCTTCGGAGAAGGGCGGCATATAAATCAAATAAAAAAAAAATATATGCTTCTCCATTTCTCATCCAGGGAAATATAATATTCTGCCTTTTTAATATTTCATTCTTCTAGGAAAGGGGTGGGTGCTAACCTCCTACAACTGTTTAAATTTATGAACTGGCCAAATACTCTGTTCAAAGAAAATACGTTGTATGTTTGTATGTGTGTTTATAATTATTGCTATTTATTGCTATTTGTTCTCTTTTATTCTTTAAAGTTTAACAATTCATTCTTTATCTTAATATCTTTATATTTGTTTGGGGTTGGCTTTCTTCCCTTTCATCTTTTTTATTGTACAGCAATCTTTCTCCTCAAACCTACCACCTCTGTCTTTTCTTTCCTTCTTACTTTCTCTTTCCCCCCCCCTCTTCTTCTTCTCCCTACTTCCTCTTCCTTTCTCCTTCTCCTCCTCTCTTCCTCCCTCTCTTACCCTCACTCCTGCTCTAATTTTCCTTCCCTTCCTTCATCCTTCTCTATTGCTGTATCCTTTTATGCATATGGACTACTCAGAGGGCTGAAAAAGTTATTTTTGACTGGTCCTCGCACTTTTGACCAGTCCTCGAACTTACGACTGTCCTCACAATTTACGTTTTTGCCCTATCTTGTCACCATGGTGAAGAGAAGCAGTTGTGAAATGAGTGACACGGTTGTTAAGAATGCTACAATGGGCATAAATGATGACCAGTCATAACTGCAAAGACCAGTCAAAAGTGCGAGGACCTGTCAGAAATCACTTTTTTTCAGCCCTCTGGGTAGTCCTTTTGTGCACAGGGACTACTCAGAGGGCTGAAAAAGTTATTTTTGACTGGTCCTCGCACTTTTGACCAGTCCTCGAATTTACGACTGTCCTCACATTTTACTTTTTTTGCCCTATCTTGTCACCATGTTGAAGAGAAGCAGTTGTGAAATGAGTGACACGGTTGTTAAGAATGCTGCACAGGCATAAATGTGAGGATGGTCATAAGTGTGAGGACCAGTCAAAAGTGCGAGGACCTGTCAGAAATGACTTTTTTCAGCCCTCTGAGTAGTCCCTATACACATAGCCATGGCCACCCGGTCACAAGACCAGCTAGCCACGGCCACCCAGTCACATGACCTCTAAGCCACACCCACAAAATAAGCCACGCCCACAGAACCGGTAGTAAAAAAACTTAGAACCCACCCCTGGTTGGGGGGTCACCACAACATGAGGAACTGTATTAAAGGGTCGCACATTAGGAAGGTTGAGAACCACTGGTCTAGAGCATCAAATATACTGATAATACCCAACCTGTATCTCTGCCCCTGATGAATTATGAAACCTTCTCCCTGGTCCAAAATTAGGTTAGCTCCACCCCTGTGGATGTTAAGGAAGTCCCTCAAGACCTGATTATATCATCAGATTTGGGGATCCCCAGGAACTGGCAATATTTTTGTGTGGCTCCCCTATTATTGAGGCCATTAATATACTTACTTGTGGTATTTTTATACTTTACTTTTTAATAAAAGCGGACCTGGCAGGTATTATGGAGACTTGGTTGGGCCCAGAGGGAGGAGTCCCTCTGGTAGAAATGTGCCCACCAGGCTTCCATGCATTTCATCAGCCAAGGTCACAGGGGAGGGGCGGGGGAGTAGTGGTTATTATTAGAGAAGGTCTTAGGCCGAGGGAGACCACTGTTCCTCAGACGGCCGGTTGTGAGTCCCTCCTTGTGAAGTGGGGCCATGGGGTTCAGATGGGCTTGCTGATCACGTACCTGGCTCCCTGCCACGTGGCAGCAGCCCTGCCCGAGCTACTCAACATTATCGCCGCGGTGGCGGTTGATACCCCCAGACTTATGGTCATGGGGGATTTCAACCTGCCGTCCGTGGGTGAGGCGTCTGAGGTGGCTTGGGAGTTCATGGCTTCCATGACGGCCATGGACCTGACCCAGCTAATTCATGACCCTGCGCACACAGGGGGAAACACACTGGACCTGGTTTTTGTCCCTGGATAGTGGTTGAGTGATCTTGAGATAGGGGATATAGTCATCGAGCCCTTGTCATGGTCGGATCACTCTCTCCTTCACCTTGACCTTC